AAAGAAAGCTTTATGGAAAACCGCCGACAATCAACTCGATCTGATTGTAATGAAAACACTCACACACTAAAACTAACTGACTGTCACTCCCTATTTGTACCTATCCCACTGGTGGCGTGACCTAAGTAGTATGCTCCTCCAAAAGCGCCCCCTCAGGGAACATAATCCTCTTGGTCACTTATTGTAATTAAGTGCCGTTTTGCGTATGGTCGCGACAAACAGTTAGTTGTACAGTTTTATATTACCTTCATTTTTCTTGCAAAAATAAATTTTTTGAAAAATAATGCGATGAAAAAATTATGTTTCTTTTTTCTTTGATAAAATTTGAATAGTTGCATATGTAACTATTAAAGAGTTAAAAAGAAATTACAGAAGAGTAACAGAATTATTAACGCAGTGAAAGAAAAACAATGAAATTTTGTTCTAGGATAAAATGTGTCTCTCATATAAATGAATTATTAAATCTGTATACTGTTGCTATTTCACTTAAAAATTGCATGAAATAACTTTGAAAAAACAAATAGAACTAATTAAAAAACAGTTAGTCAAATTTTTAAAGTCTTCTTCAACCACATAATCATTTTTTCCAACGATTAAACGAAAAAAAAAAAGGATTACTGACAGTTAACAAATAACCTAAGCACAATTATAATTATTGATTTATTCTTTAAAGTGATCTTTATTTGAATTGATAATTTATAAAAAAAAAATAAAATTTTTTCTCTATTTTTTTGGATAAAGTTTACTTGATAATAAATTAGCAAAAATATGGTTGAGTTGTTCTTTTTGTGTGTTTTGGCTAACGTTTAAAAGCTTTATTGCAGAACGGAATATGTCCACTGCTTTTTAACAGAAGAACTTTGTTTGAACAGTGCGATAGAGAAAATGATTTTGCGTTATGATAAAACAGTCAAATCAGGCTAGGAGAAAGACAGTATCACAGATTCTTTTTGCTCTTGTTTTTGACTGCTAAATTAACTAGAATTTTTATTGATTTAATGATAAAATATTCCAACGAATCGTCGCCGACTACGTTTCTTTGTTGATGTCTGGATCCAAAAACAGCTGACTTCTGATAAATCCACTTTGACTACGAGCTACAGGCTGAAAATTTTGGTGTCAAATCCAACAAGTTTTTTTTTTTTTTATAAATTCTTCAGAGTTTAACACTACAGCACAGAAATTCATTTATTCATCCACCTGACATTTGCTAGGTAACAATAAGCTGTAGCAATAAAGACCATGAAACAATTGAAATGCTTACGGAAATTACTGGAGCACATCCAATTGCAAGACGATGCCATTTGGCTGTATACTGATCACAGTTGTCGTCAAATTCTAATACCCGAATATCGTAATGCTCTTCTGCACATTGGAAACTTATTTTGTTGTTCACATAAAATCGACTACACAGACATCTGACGAATGGTAATGTTGCAGGAATACGCTACAAACATATTAGTTGCAGTAACTTCAGAATTTTCTTTCTTATTACAGTGCAACAAGAGTCAGTGATCCGATACTTTTGACGTTTAAAAGCACTAAAACTGTTAACACTGTGTTACTAATATAAAAAGATGAAGCAGTCATCATTACCATTATCATTGTTGCTTTTTTTCTTGGCTTTATTTTTTTGCAGATTTGAACGTACCTTTGGATTATAATCAAGATAATAACGATATTGACAAAGTGCACGATCGTGATTTGGTTCAGTTTCAGTTATCAAATCTTGCGGATTATACTTACACTGATTAGCACGTGAACCAGTTAATGGTTGATCATTTACAAATTTACCCTAAACAGAAAACAATAGTTTTTTTTTAGTCTTAGCCGA